TCGGTATGCAAATGATGCGTTTCGGTTCGGTTTTTGATTGCCAGAGTGCATATTATATGGGAACAAAATCTTAAAAAAATGTCGGATGAACACTTGTAATGCGGTAGCGATTCCATATGAAAAGAATAATGACAGGCGTAACGAAGTCGAACCTGTGGTAATCAATAGTGTGCCCTTACCGGGAAGCTGTTGGGCATCTAATGTATTTGAGTACAGCAACCAGGTCGGACATTGCTTACGCGGTCAGTGTTGTATTCAAATTCAAAACCGTCAAATTGGGGGGTTAGTACGAGGTGATCCCGCAGTGGCGTATTATACCAGTTTTCTGGCGGTGCAATCACTTGAAGCAGCCCACTACCGAGGCAGAGTACGTAACAAGTGAGGGTGCTAAGAGGTGATTTGGTTACAACGTTTCTTGAAAGAAGTTAGTCACATTAAAAGTTATTAGAAAAGGATAGCAATTCGCAACTGAAATTTACTGCACAATTCATATTAGCTGTCTAAAACGTCCTGCCTTAGCTTTTCGATCTGTCAGAATTTGACCATTAAACTAGGTACAGGCTACCGGTGGACATTATAACAAAAGGTCGATTAACCGTCAACTGACGTCGCCTGAATATTAAACCACTCGATTTTTAAAATGAGTCATTCCCTAATAGTAAGGGAGCCCAATAGAGGATTTTGGCATTCACTCAAGCGCGCCAGATTAGCATAAAGGGAGACACCCCGCTGAGTACCTCCACCATATATCAACCCTTAATGTAGAATCGTGGATCTAGGACAGGTCATCATAACAGTAAAAAATCCATAGTTAGAAATATTCAAGCGCGTTAGATTAAAGTAAGACGTGGGTTGACCACGTGTTGAAAAGTATCATTTCAATAATATGACGTTTTGGGTGTGATGTAAGGGAATGGGAAGGTCACAAACTTGCAAAAAAACGTTACCTTGAGCTTCTCGAGTGCGTTTTTATTTTGAAGGAAATTATTGAAGAATATCAGAAGAAATGTAGTCTGCCAATTTCCACACTCCGAAGTATAACAAATTGTCAATAAAGTTCAAAGCGTTCATCAGTTGAAGCATGTCAGTCGACTGAGATCATAGGCGGTCATGTCATAAATTATATCTACAACGCTCTGGCTTGTTTTGTTTGGGTTTTACTATAATAGTAGTGTTTTATATATAAAATTTTGAGAGTTTAATATTTACTACGATTCAAGTCTGAAACAATAAAACAAAGTGTGTGACGCGCTCTAATTAATCCCGTTTTCTATTCTTCCGTACAGCCTCCCCCCACCATATAAACCGGCAGATTAACATACTTCCAATATCAGAGACACGTGGGGTATGAACACTATCCATATCTGACCCGCTCGAGCATTTTCATGTGACTATTTTTTGTGTACATTATTCAAAAAGTGTTGACGCGCCTCCCACCGGTGGGAGGATGTATCATATAACTTCTTTTCCCTACCACGCTCGAGTAAATCCCCATTTAGCATCCCTACTACAAGTAGGTACACGCGATTCATAGTATACCGGTAGACAAAATTATTGCGGGTCTGACTTATAATAAGCTAGTAAGAAACCCAATAATCTGAGCGTGAGAAAGACATAACTTTACCAAGGTTGACACGAGCCAGTATTACACTAAAAAATAAAACGAGTGATGCATTTTGTAAGTTGGTAGTTTCTGTTGTCTGTTAAACTGTCGAACTGTCATTAGCTGCTAATGTCAAAGATCCAAGCGTGAAACCGTTTAATTTATTTCTGTTGTCAGTGCTGGATATATCAACTTTGCAAAAACTTGGTGCCGTTTTATATTTTCCCTGTGTGTGGTTATCTTCAAACACAGCGTCATATACCACCTTCTTAGGTATAATGAATACAGTACCTATAGTTTGTTGTGTATTCTCTCATTATACACTCACATAATGCTTATTGGGTTTCTTTCCAGATTATTATAGGTCAGACCCGCAATATTTTTTTTCCATATGTGTATAGGTATATCTGTTCAACGGGGTAAAGTTCACAGGCAAATTATCTACTCCATTTAAGTCAATGCTTTCGAAACGCCTCTAATGATAATAATAATAATAAATATGCTTTATTATGCAGTATATATGCAGCATAATCTCAGGGCGAGGTTCAGCAACGCTGTTCTTCCACCTAAACCCTGAATTAAATAACAAATAACAACAAAAATGTTGCTTATTACTAACTAAACCTATCATTCTGTGATTCTAAATAATATTTTACTAAGCATCCAATCCAAATCAAAAATATAATAATAAAATTAATACAAAAGAATAAAGTGAACGGAGTTTACGAAGCTATAATAACTTAAGCAGTAGAATTAGTTTCAAATATAAATATGCTCAAATAAGAATATGCTCGTCCATTAACATATTACGAATTTTGACTTTAAACGTTTTTTGAGAACTATTTACTAACTCGGTTGACAAACACATTATATGAAAATGACCTTTGAAATAAAGCAGTAGAATGGAGGGGGGGGAGAAATTTTTTCACGAAATCTTGTATTAATATCAATGTTGTGCACGTCAGTTCTAAATGTAATGGTATTATATAAGTATGGAGAGCTTTTATAAATAATAATTTTAAGACAGAACAGTTGCAGTTCCCTACGGTGATGCATAGAAAGCCAGTTGGCATCTTTTAACTTGTGGCTAATATGTTCGTATTTACGTATTCCATACAGGGTGATTCCTATAGTACCTGCCACCGTTTGGGAGCGTGTAGGTGGTGCGTAGGGGAGTATNGGTTGTAGTCAACACACAGTGTGGAACATCGCCAACAACAACAACTTACACCCCTATAAGTTTAAGAAAGTGCAAGAGTTACGGCCGGGTGACCATGAAAGGAGGCTGGAATTCTGCAACTTAGTCGTCCAGGAGGAAGAAGCTAATCCGAACTTTCTGAGGAGCGTGCTAGTTACTGACGAGAAAGGATTCTCAAGAGAGGGGACCTTCAACCCTCGTAACAGCCACTACTGGGCGGAGCACAATCCTCATGAAACGTTTACGCGAGGATACCAGGACAAGTTTTCTTTAAACGTTTGGGCTGGCATCCTGGGGGACAACCTACTGGAGCCTTACATCCTCCCTCCGCGTGTAAATGCCCATAATTACCTGATTTTCCTGCGCGAGGTGCTACCAGAACTTTTAATGGATGTTCCAGTGAACTTGTACTGGGACCACTGGTTCCAGCACGATGGGTGCCCTGCTCACTACGGGCGGCAGGTGAGGGAACACTTGGACTAAACCTATCCGGACAGATGGATCGGCCGTGGAGGTGCGGTGGAGTGGCCTGCCCGCTCGCCCGACATCACCCCATTAGATTTTTACTTGTGGGGTGTGATGGAAGCGCACGTCTACGAGACTCCCGTCGAATCCGAAGAGGACTTAATTGCGCGCGTCGTCATGGCCGGAGAGGCTGTTGGCCAGGACATAGGAGTCTTCACGCGAGTTCGAGGGGAGTGGTTGGCTAGATGTAGGAAGTGCATTGAGAACAACGGTGGCCACGTTGAACACTTGTAAACGTTATTGCTTTGGACTGTCGTTTTCCCTCCTTCCCTCCCATGTCGCTTCCTCGCGCTAACTCGCTCTGCATCGCTCCGCGCGAAACGTCGGTCGGTTGGGTTGCCTACATACAGGCATGAAATTTCAGAAGATAAATTTGGTTCTGGCGCCCTTATTTTGGATTTCCGACCCCAAGTGTCCTATATGAAAAGACTTCCCCTAGGCACCCCCTATACGCTCCCAAACGGTGGCAGGTACTATAGGAATCACCCTGTAGATAAAACGTAGACATGAATTTTGTACTCTCTGTATTCTAGTAGAGGTAAGTTTATCTATGGATGGGTGATAAACAGGAACACAATAATTAAACTGAGACAACACAAATGCTTCACAAAGTCTTATTCTAGTTTTAATGGTGAGAAAAGATCTTTGCCCGTAAAGTATCCGCAAATGCGAGTATGCACGCGAAATATAATTGCTAATTTGGGTTGTATATCTAAAGCTATTATCCAACCATAGCGCTAAGCTTTTAGCTTTGTCGGAAATACGAATTGTGGAAGAACCGATTTTAATTAAAGGAGTCATATTTAAGTTAGCAACATTATTCTTACTACCAAACAATAGAAACACCGATTTGTGTGGATTCGCTTTCAGCTTGAGCTTCCGTGATAATGAATTGAGCAGCGATAGTTCCGAATTAATGATATGAATAGCATTGGGTAGCTCAGACATGTGAAACGAATAATAAATTTGCATATCATCGGCGTATGAATGTACTGAGCACTTAGTCACAGAACTCACAAGTTGAGATGTATATAGCGAATATAGCAGGGGTCCGAGAACCGACCCTTGAGGCACCCCACGCCGATAAAAAAATGAATGAATAATGTGTTGACCGTTTTTAACAAAAATTATTTCCATGATCAAATGTAGTTTACGGTTACCCAATTGGTGTCGCACCTTTGCTTGAAATGTATCGCAACGTTCCAGAATGTACAGGGTGTAGCATCTAAGACCCCTCGGATCATAATTCCATTACTATGAAAGATACCGCAAAAAGTCTTAAGAGCATAATTGTAGGCAATCACCGCCGGTATGTTTCTAAAATATTTTTGAACACCAGGAACGTGCTCTATTCCAGTGGCGTATCAAACTTGCCTTTTTTTAAATGGAACCACTGATTTGGAGCGTACTTGAAAAATACTTATTTTTTTATGTAACATGTTATACCCCTTACTTTACAACTTTTTTCGTCAAAATTTAACAGGTAACTGAATAATGATCCGAGGGGTCTTAGGTGCTACACCCTGTATACTACAGGGTCACTATGCAAATAGTGGATATCACTCTCCTCAAATACTTTAGTAGGTAATTTGTTTTTCAAAAACTGCCAATCTTAATTTACATTGTTTTTGTTTGCTGTCGATAATGAAATTATATGCATCTGATTTGTTACAGTCGCAAGGTAGTTTATCAAATAAAACCAGTACTGGTGGATCAACGCCAACAAAAATTACCACCACAACTTCCACTTCGGTCCCAATTAATTCTGCTAACAAAACAGAATCAAAGCCGGTGGAATGCAATCTGTGTCACAGAAAATTTAAAAATATACCTGCGTTAAATGGCCACATGAGACTACATGGTGGATATTTTAAAAAGGTGAGCGCATTTAATCTCTATTCGTTGTACATGTAATCCTGCAGGATGCCGAAAATAAGAAATGTGAGAAGAAGGATCCAAGTGGACCTCCACTGCAAACAGCAAGTGTAAGTGTACGGGCGCTAATAGAAGAAAAAATTATAAACAAGCGCAGCACCAATCCGCCTCCGCCAACCAACGGCGAAGACACAACGCGGAGTGGGGCGCCACCGCTTTTCCCTCTAACTGTGCATTCCTCAAATAATTCCAGCGACTTGGATTCAAAAATCACCTCATTTGTCGTACCTGCGCCTCCACAACAACCAACCGAAAAAGGACGAAGACACTCGGATGCCGACGCGTTTACAATACCGAAACAGCCCAACACGCAGCAAGAAGCGGAAGCATTAGCTGACCTCATTTTGAAAAAGGGAAAGGTTGCGGTAAAAAGAACTACATCCGATCCCGGGCAACCTACCCAGCAAGTAATACAATTACAAACCGGAGAATCACTGACTCTCACCGGTGTTACATATCAATCTGAAGATAGCTCGGGATATTTCTCGCAAAGCTTACAAGACGAAGTGTTCACTCAAGTGCAAGACACAATGTTATTACAAAGTGTCGACGCACAACACCTTACTTCGATTCAATTCCGAACCGATTCCCTCCTGCATGAACAAAGTGAGGATCAACTGCACGACATTGCCTCTCTAGAAGACTACGCCAGCGTGACCGCAAGTCTTCAGGAGACTGTTCAATCACCATCATACCAATCTAATCACTCGGTCAATCAAGACTTACAGGCGGTGCTCGACTCTCCTTTGCCCGAAAGCTTGGCAGAATTCAGCACATTTCATTCTGCCACAAATCTGGACATTCCATCCCCCGGTTATCAAACCCAATCTCCCGCTCAATACACGGAATCTCCACATACGTCCCTTACTGCTCAATCTCCCCTACAATCCCCTCTAATTAGACACGATTCGCCCGGGTTTGCATATCCAACTCCGCCCGCCAGTCACGAAGGCCGAAGTCCTTGCTTTGGACAAAACACGATACTTCCCATGGTCTCGCCCAAACAAAACGATTTCACGCAAGTCGGCGGACGGGAACTAGATGAACCTCCGCAAGCATCTTCCCCTTTATCGGCGGCATTTTTTACTTCGACAATGTCTAGTTCGGCAGCCGTGGAAGAGGCTTTAGAAGAAGTCCTGCCTGGAGAAAGCATATCAACCGACGATATTTACCCGCTCACCAACTCACCAACGCCACAGTCACCACTTTCCGTCGGCCTTACACCTGTCGCTTCGCCATTATCCAACATCCCAGCATCATCGGTATCTTCTCCTCACCCTTCAACCACGTACACTCCGTCCCCTAGCAACGTTACGTTTCCACTATCGCCACATTACTCCTTTCAATCGCAAATGATGCCAAACTCGGACGATCCCCTACTGTCAAGCAGTCCAAAAGACACTAAAAAAAAGTTTGAATTCAATGGCCTTCCTTTAAAAGTGATAAGTAGTAACGGATTAATCGACACAAATTTTACCGGAATTTTGGTCGAGAGTAATGGCGAACTAAAACTGGTACAAACAAATGGTAATGCGCTACAAACAAAAAATATAGTCGTAACTGGTGCTTCATTACTACACGCACAAAATTTTTTAAACAAGGATATACAATTAAAAAACGGAGAAAGGATACCGAAGGTTACACAAACGCACACCAACCTTCCAATAAAATTTGCCGGGCAAAGAGAAACGTTTAAACAAGATGGTACCGATGTGTTTATCAGTCCCAACATGTAAGTACATAAGTCTTTTACGGTGCCCCAGTATATCGTTTTAACTACATAGTGTACCTGCGAGTCCTATAAGGCAATCAAGGAAACGGCCACGTTCGGAACCCTTACAACTTCCCGTGCTTTATCAATCCAGATTACGCGCAACTAGAAGTAGGCCTCACGGATCATCGACTTATACGCCTCCACCATTACTCAATCCAACTAGATCAGGTTCCGGATTATATTGCAGCTTAAAGAAAGGTAAGTTCGCAGTAGCTGTTGGCGTGAGCCACGTAATCCCTCTTGCAGAAAACAGAGAGGACGCTTACAACGTGTGGAATAATGAGTCAATTCCCGAGTCAGATTCAACACCTCATATTAATATTGGCTCTCAATTTCAATGCCATCCACCGCCTTGCAGAAAAGGGTTATCTAGAGTAGATCTGGAACCCAACCGAGAGTATCTGTTGTGGAACCCGTCTTGTACTCTTTCGGACAACGAAGGTAAGGAATTGTTCAATATAATCTTCTTCAGTTTAGTGTTAAGTAAAAGGGCTTGTTGTTTGAGCCACACGCTGGTTCAGTCAACAGGTTTTTGCTAGTATTGAATATGTGCAGTTGACATGTACTTGGATTTCGCGTGCTGCGCAGCAGTTCCCGGTGGAGGACGAAATAAGGAGTACGCAATGCACCTTTTGCACATGTGTGGAGGGAATATTCACGTAAGTTGCATTTCACCAATGGTCGACCATTGCTAACCTTATTTCATTACAGGAAGCAATGCTAAAGTTAATGCACCCCTATCCCGCGCTTCCTCACGATCATCCTCTTTTACATTATCAGTACAGTGATAGCGATCGATGGTCGTCGGAAGAAATAGAGGCATTTCAACACGCTCTTTTTAGATATGGAAAGGATTTCTTTAGTATATCGCGCGATGTGAGTAAGATTTGTGTTCGTCTTGTCCCATTTGAACGTGTGATTATTTTTAGATTGGCTCAAAATCGACAAAACAATGCGTGCAGTTTTATTATATTTGGAAAAAAGTATGCGCCGATGAGTACAGGCGGATGAAAGTTTCTAGAGAATCTAAACGCTCATATTCGAAAGGATTTGAGTCAGATTCAGAGGAGAAACCACATGCGGATGTTAAATTATTAGGCGTAAGTATTTGCGAGTTTGCATTCGTTTTGGTTTATATTCGATATTTTAGATTGCCGACGCGGAGTCGCCTATTCCCTTTCAAGAACATAAAAATTTTATATGTGAATTTCCCGATTGCTCAGCTGTAAGATTATTTGAACTGCTTTTATTTTTATTACACTACCTTTAAAATATTGCAGAGTTTTAATTCCAAAGCGGCACTTAACGGCCATATTAGAATACATGGTGGTACTGTTAGAAATTCACCGACGCCGTCGACAGTGTTAGAAAGACGAACTTCCACAACTCCTACCATGTGCCACTCAGATTCTTCCGAAGATTATCCGTGCAAGATATGCGGGAAGTAAGTGTTCTTCATTCACCATATCAATAGCTAAGGTAAATTTATCGATGTGTTTCTACCGCCGTTCGTGTTGCTTTTACAGCTAATACTATCGCATCACTTTTTTGTCTCAACATCCAATGAACGGAATGAGGTACACTTTGATTTTTTTACCTTCCAACATTTTTTCTGTATGATTTGATCAGTGTTTGTGAATCTTTAAATTTGTTATATTTATTATTGTTTCGTTTTCAACAGAGCGCATGATAGAACTGCTATTAGTTTCTTTACTTCATTTCAAGAATTCAACACATTTGCTGGAGCTAAAATACAAATCCCAGTAAAGTAGGACAATGTACATGCATTATCGAATTTGTTTCTTCATCCCAACAAACAAACAATATGTAGAACGTATCGTTTATTTATTTATCCCAAATAGCAGGTCAATAGATTGAAATTATATGTTCATTATCCGGTTGCTGGCATATGTGAGATAAACAGCATCTTTAGCACATTTAATAATCTACCAAAATGTTTTTCCTCTGTACTCTTGCTGAGTTGGAAAAACTTGTTTGAAACAAGTTCACGATAGCACAGGAAATATTTCGAGGCCATCGCTAAAACCTCACATTAATTTCTTTTCTTCAAAGGAGTTACTGGAAATCACTTCCAGTTAATTGATACAAAAGAAATGAAGAAATTCTTGATTCAATATTTAGAAATCCTATGAAATCTAGAATACCGTGTGCGGTCAGGATGCGCGGTGTATTCATAATCTCTTCGATTACATGAAAACGCCGACTATCTTCAGGATAAAGGCAGGTGTAATTTTTATGAATAGAATGGATTGCTTTTAAATATGAAACCGAAAATAGCGTTCCCTACATAAAAAGCAACAGAACTAACTAATTGACTCAAAACAACATTACTTGTTGAATGTTTGACGAACAAGCTGCATATTTCAGAAGCAACGGACTAGGGCTATCTTTCGGAAAAGTCTAGGTGGCCGAATGAATCCTTTTAGAAGCCCGATGTCTTAATGACGTTTTAATTAAAAGTTTTTGCCACGCAGGACGTAGCGTTGCCTACATCAGAAGCAACAGAACTAAAACTATTCTTCGGAGGAGTCTTTGGTGGTGACCGGAAGAACCCGCTTGCGTGTCCTATGTTTATTTCAATGACAACTACCTGCATTTTAAATAAAAAGTGGGGCGGATTCACTGCAAAAAACGTTGTTGCAAACATTAAACATCGTAAACGCGCATGTATCTACGATTTTTGTACATATTATGTTTTTAGGTCTCGTGAGAGTAATTTATACCCAAGTTAAGGCGAGCAACTTTAGAGCATTTTCCATGAATTGATCAGTACCTCTCGAAAGCTCGCGTAAAGGTCTATTTACGAGGGGGTATCCAAAAGTTGTGAAACATTGTTTAAACTCATCTACTTTGCTGTTTACAAGCGTCTCTATCCTTTTCGGCTTCACCTCCTCCACGTCGGCGAAACGTTTTCCCTTGAGGTTCCTCTTCATTCGTGGGAATAAAAAAAATCACTCGTAGTCATATCGGATGAGTAGGGTGGGTGGGGTAAGACAGCCATGCCGTCTCTTGCCATTAAAGTGACCACCGAGATGGCGGTGTGAGCTGGGGCATTGTCGTGGTGAAAAAAACAGTCACCCGACCGCCACATTTCGTGTACACAATCCTTTTTGCATCGAAAAAACAAATGAACATTGTCCTCACTTGACGAGCCTTTTTGACGCGGAGCGAGGATGGCGTCTTCCAGTGACTACTTTATTGTTGTTTAGTTTCTGGGTCGTAACCATAACACTAAACCTCATCTCCAGTAATAATCTTAGAAAAAAATTCTGGATCGGTTTCGGAGTGTTCTTTCATGACACGGCATGTTTGACGCTCTTTCTGGTGATCATCCCTGACATACCCAAATTCTTCGATAAAATGTGCTGAGCCGAGCTGCAATCCACTCCAGACAACTCTTCGAGTTTCTCAACTGTTCGTCCTCGACCTTCATCCACGTGCTCGTTAATTTTTTGGACACTCATCTCGTCCGTTCGGATTTCGGAAAGTTGATGGACGTCCAGAATGCGGTTGATCATCAATTGACGTATCACTATTTTTAAAGCAAGTGAACCTTGAGCTTGATGCATAGAGTCATCCTTGTAAGCGATGTTCAACATTTAAACAGTTTCCGAGGTCTTTTTCTCGAGCAGGAAGCAAAACTTCACAGCCGCGCGCTGGTCATAAAACTTCTCCATGAAGAACGACGACGGGACATAACAGTTCTTATAAGAAAATTCATTGCGGGCAGACTCAACCTTCCACATCAACGCTGCTTGACACACTGACTGAGAAGGCGAGGCTGAACAAACCACTAGCGGCAGAATCGCGTACCACGAAAACTGTGCGCGCAGCAGCGTCATTCTGAAAACCTTTGAGTACTCACAGTATGCGTACAATGGAAAATAAGTTATGGTATAAATATTCTTATAAATAAGAAAGCTCACATTACGCAGTTTGCACATGCGCACATCTAATTTTTACAGTATGCGATATGCTTGTTTTTACTAGAAACATCTGTGGTTAAAATATCTCTGTAAATAAGCCATTTGATATTCCGCATGCGCATATTAATCGTCAAGATTTTTCTTGGTTAAAGTGCAAGAACTATAAGCTACCGAATGCAAAAAGAACGAACTAAATATCTTGAAAACTGTATGAGTATTTAAGGCCTGGGACGAACGGAGAAGGTGGTCTTAATAGCGAATTTCCAACAGAGTTGGAAAATGCGCTAAAAAAACAATCGAATGCAAAAAGAACGAACTAAATCAAACAGTAAGAAAACTCAAACATGTACATAAAACTTTATATGTATATATAAATTTTAAAAGTTAATTTTCCTCCGACGTTCCTGCCTGAACATTTTGATCATCATTTTGGTACCAGTCGTACTTTTTGGAACCATGAATTTACTTCAGAAGTTGCGGTTTACTCTTTAAGAACTGAAACATTTCATCGAAGGTTGCTGCACAATGGATCAAAATCCAACTAAGCAATACGCCAAAGCATTTATGATCAAAGACATGCAAGATTATATTTCGTTTGGACAAAAACTATGACTTAATTTTGTGTAATTAAGAAAAAGAGTACATTTAGGTGTACTTGATAAATCGTAAAGGACAATAGGACAGCGTTTCAAAAGAAAGTACTGTCCTACTAAAAAAAGTACATATGGTCACCATAATAATATATATTAGCACTCTTACCAATGTGCCAAAGGGAGCAGCACGCGCTACTTCACTAAACTGCTCACTTTGGAACGCTTAAAAAGAGAAAGCTAAACCTAGGTATTTAAACCTATTCGGATTTCTAAAGCAGATAAAGTGACCATCCCTCGTTACGGTTGAAATTGTTTACGTAAGAGGGGGATGGTATGACTTGGCTTCGGCTTCTTGATGAAACAATATTGTGGCGATTTGGAGCAGCATTCTCAGCAAATTCTTAACGCATATCTTGACGACCTTCTCCTTGGTGTTGCGTGGTTTTGGGATTAAGTGACGATTTATAGCGTTGTGAATTTCGCTCCGGTGAAAACCGTTGTTAACTAAAGTGTTGGTGACGTGCTGTAATTCGTTCCAAAGGTTATCCTTATTGGAGACGGCTACAGCACAATGGGCCAAGACATTGAGCGACCGTTTTTGTGCTGGTGCAAGTGTGAGTACGATAAAATGAGTGACTAATATTTCCATTCGCGTGAAAAGATTCCAGGGCGACCGATTCAAAAAATCCCATGACAGCGCCAGAAACCTGTTCGTAAAACTTTCCTATGAACTGAAAATAGGTGGAAGATAAACACTTGATCAGGGTAACTAATCAACGACTGCTCTTTAGAATTTTCTCAATGATAATGAGAGAATCCTTCATGGAAACCTTGGTAAATAGTGACGTCTCAGAATGTGAGATGACGTGCGACCTGAAAAACCTTCATATATTGGCGAGATCCTTGGCGAGCTTGTAGTTGGGCGAGTTGAGGGTGCTGACTATGGAGCGAAGAGGGATTCCTTGCTTGAACATTTTAGGAAGACTGTACAACCTCAGTGATTTAGAGTCTCTAGGGATGAGATCGCGTTGGACATCCTTGGGGACACTGACGAGCTGATGCCAGACCTCTCGTTCGATTCTCTATTTAGATCTGGGACCTGACTCATCTTGTGTAACTGTAGCGTTGCCTTTATCTGTAGAGACGATGATCAAACTGAAATTTAAACGTTTAGGGTTCTTGTACTGAAGATTTTGGAACTTTTTGAGGTCAGTTTGTGTGATTAATTCCAAAGTGAATTGCTCAAAAGAAATTCTATTAAAATTGCTGTCTCAGAATAAATTATTTTCAGTTTGGTCTCTAGGGTGTTTGAATAATTTTTAGTTCCTAAGCAGTATAAATAATACTTTTGAGCATCTTCTCATTAATGGTGCTGCAATTTCTCAGATTTTTGTACCACTTCCACACCAGGAATACTTCTCGCCGTCTCTTTTCCAGATTTTTGGATATTTAGGTAAATACCAAATTCTTAACGTAGACCAAAATTCCGTTCGCTTGGAAGTTTAAGCAACCGAACTGTGGTTCTGTATTGAATAATTATATTGTTCAACGGTGTCTAAACATACTATTAAGTTATTTAGTTCAAGTTGTACCTACTCATAATATAAAAGAACCTACTCATAATATAAAAGAATAAAGAAAAAATTATTATTGTTAATTTGTCGTCGTTTAATAAGTAAGTAATTTTCCAATTTTATAATAACCGTTTAATTATTGTTACATTCTTGTAGTTTTTGCTTTGATAATGGTCTGCTGATAATCAGAACGAAACTTATGTCAGCCATTGTACATCTTAATCTGCAACAGCTGTAATACCATAGCAGAAATATAAATTTAATTGGGGAAGACAACATCGTGTGTTCTTAATATTCAAACCTAATTTGAGATGGAATTCAGAAATTGAACCATATAATTGAATGTTACATTGTCTCAAAGTGCTTGTTTCCTCTTCTAGTCTTTATAATCTAAATCTACTTATTATATACGCGCATTCGCAAATTAAGGCATTCCTGGGTTGCCACCGATCCAAAATTTTTGTCATTGCACGGATTCACAGCCGAAATATTCCTAAAAAGTCTATGTTTAACCATTCTATGATGAAAATTTGAAAGATTAATTCATACTAATTTTCCAAATCAGACTTATCCTCCCTTTGTTACTTCGACATTTTGTCACACCCACAATGGTGGGTTTTTTAAGACTCGCGCTCTAACCTCACATGTAGCGAGTTCGAACCCCACAACTTACCAGTTTTTAATTGTATAGAACATCTCTCGACTACTATGCTTCGAAGGGCACGTAAAGTAAGTTCCGGGAGTAATACCACAACTGTCGTTAGGTCACACAGGCGGCTGTTGATGCGATCTGAAAACGTCTGTATTTACCTAGCGAGTGTCGCCCATACGATAACTAACTAATTATTCCTCAAAATGGCAAATTTTCATTGGTTAGTGTCTTTCTTACTACCAATCTTAGGTCGTTAATCATTCTCATCTTCCCCAAAATAAACTGAATCAAAGATTTTCACGGTACGAGTTTATCTCACGCTTACTAAGAAATGTAACCTTGTATCCCTATCAAAACGGATATAAACTGAGCTCTAACTCAGACTCTCGGGCTTCAGTCGCGATTAGAGACAATTAAAAAAAAACGCAAAAATACCCACGCGTTCATGATACTAACGGACGATCAAAAATGAGTTGCTGTCGAGTCGCCTTTTTTCATGTAAACAAAACTTCCAACGGTGACTCGACAGCAACTCATTTTTGATCGCATAGTACAGTCGATCGTTATTTCTGCGGGAAATTCAAAAATTTAAATCCAAATCTAAATGCTCTTATTAGATAAGTAGGTATTAAAACCGGCGTGCCTTTTGAATCGCCCTTGTTTGTTTGTTGGGATACATTTTTCTAGTTAGTAATAGCTTCAAATGAAAATAATTGGTACATTCCATAACCGGCCTATTTGCTAGTCGACCATAACCCTTGATATTTTCTACTTAAAAGAACATGAATTAACTAGTATCAAATCATATACTTCGATACGAAAAATATACGTTTCCCCTCAACCTCAATACAAACGTGGATATGAAATATCCGCATGATAACTGTCGCTGATTTGTTTTTATTTTAAATTTCAGAGTATTTACAAAGATTAAAAGTCGCAGCGCCCATATGAAATCACACCGCCCTCCCGACGCGGAACCGCTTAGAAGAAGAGAAAAGGACATTTCCTGCTCATCTAGTTTTGATGTATTTGTATCCAGCCCCTTCACCACTTAGCAAAAATGTGATTAGAATTATTTAGCCGGAGATATTAATGTAGGGAAAGGTTAGAAGAATAAACGCAATCAAATAAATTACTTACTCGAGAAAATCAAATCAAAATTTCTATCGTTTTCCTTTTTCTATAATTTGAATGCAGTTATTCCAAATCAAACAATGCAATCAAACATCATACTTTCGTTAGGCGTACTGTAACCGTGAATAAGAAATGTATAAAAGTACTTCAGGAAGTTAGACAAATGTAGTTAAAACTTAGGGTAGGTTGTACATCCTCATATAACAGAGATTTATATATTTAATAAAAATAGGGGTTGTGTTACGTTACCTGGTGTAACGTTAGTGCCTTTCGACTGTCGAGTGAGACCCTACGTTTATACCACTTTCGTGGTTTAAGCATGGAGCTGTACCGATACCGATCCGGTACTTTATAGTTTGTACTTTAATGCTCATTTCATCGTTTACGATGACTTTGTGTGAATATTGAGCAATAGATTCTGATAAATCAAATATCAACGGCCATAACTGCAAAACTAATACGTATTTATATTTTTGGAAACTTAATCGCGATATTTGCTTTTATTCATTTCATCTATTCATATCATCCATACTGTTGTTAAATCGATATAGCGTTGTAAGTTTTATCATAATTGTAAGAGAGAAAAATAATTTTATATTTCAGTTAAAAATTACTGTTAACGAGAGAGAGAAAAACACGGAACTCTATCGCGGTTAAGGAACCATTTAACATGTAAGTACTCGTCGCCCTTAGGCGTCCGTACTGTTTACTCTGTGTTGTGATCTTTTTAAAGTCTATTACTATAAATCTATATAAATACTAATATAAATAAATATTTGTACATGTTATTGAATGTATAGGTAGTAATTACTTTTGTCGGTGCAAAGCCAGGGGAAAACTCGAGCTTTTCCATTAAATGAAATGACAATCCAATATCGTTTTATTCGTACATTTCTGTGTTATCGGTGTATTTTTAGTGTCTGCAAGACGTTAAACATAGGTTAAGCAGCTTATTCGTAGATATAATAACTTAATTGTTGTATGTTGACATGTTTTATAATCCCTGTTGTATGTTTTGTAGTTTCTCAGTAAAATGGGAAAGAGTAGGTTAAGTAAAATGGCTGAGATCCACTGGCTTGCGCAAGACTCTAACTGCTGCCATCTATTAATAGCCTAAGAGATACATCCAAGGGGCTACAAAGGTCTGGAAAAGTATTGGATGCTATCGATGTTGATTGTTTTTATTTTCGATAATTGGCTTGGTCTAATGCGTTACGAAAGGCAGTCAGCAAAAACTGCATCTAACTCATGCACATTCCAGTTAGCAAACCTCCTTATATCCCGACAACTTACCCTTGTTAATGTAAAATTTACATGCATGACGCACAATTATTAAATGTCAAATTACTTATGGCGGTGACACGTTACACTTACCAATGATATTACGTATTCATTCCACGATCCGTGATCCCCTCCTCCGCAAGTGCATGAACTTATAAACAGCGTATAAAAGACAATAACTTCTTCGAATTTTAACAGCTAAAATGGATTAATGTCATATCATTGCTGTAATATTTCAATGAGCTCTTATTTCTTGTAAAATTAAACCTTAAGAGAAATAATTTTGATATAAACAAAACGTAATAATTTAAGACATATCAAAGATTAAATTTAAGCTCAAGTTTGAAATTAACTCAAAGTTGTCACTGTCTAACGGCCTAACGTGCCAATATAACCCTATATTAACCGTTACAAATAAACTTTGTGATAAAATTTAACGAAGGTCCTAAGTTCCAAAAAGGCTAAGTGTGTCATGTTATGTAAATAATAATTATTAATGTGTTATTTAAGTAAATGTATCGTTGCCCTAGAACATTTTAAGTGTGATTTAAGAACAATCATTCTTGTATCCATCATATTAGCTCGCGGTGTTGCAAAATGAAAACCAAGTGACCCGGCATTGTATGCTAAAACGATTAGCTGCCCGTCTGCAGTTTTTCGTTTCCTTCTTTACCTATTCTGTTGTGGAATCGATTTCAGCTTGTTTTGCTGACTTTTCAAGTTGTTATTTGTATGGATGTGTGCCTGTACCGTTTCATTTGTGCCAAAATTTGATATCATAGCAAAACACTTCGTTTTGCGCTGTAAAATATTTAGCGTTAATTAATGCTTGTACATTTGTACATATGGCTATAGTGTATTGCCTGTTCTCTTTGGTAATTTATATCTAAAAATGATTTGTACGCTTCGTGCACAATACTCAAATCATTTTTAGATATGCTACTTCATAAATAGTGTGAAGTTTTCATAGTTTTGCCAAATAATTTAACCCCGTCGCATCGCCATGCATTATTAGTCAAGGGGACGTGTAGTATGCAATAAACTATAAATAGTAAAGTGTTCTCTGTGCAACACAGTATATTCTTCAATTTCAAATTACCAAAAATCTCTACAGCTAAAGCATCGTTAGTCACTAAACTGGCAATTCACTAAAATATCTACGTCCAGTTTAAATGAACACGACGACAGGTGACTTAAATGCACGTTCTTCTAATCCAATCTGATTTTCTTTAAAGACTAAATTTAATTTGCAAAACGCGCCGTTCCCTTTAGATACACCCTGTACCTGAGCGTTAACACCCATTCTCATTACTGTTATACATTTTACTTGTTATTAACACCTATTAAACGTTTCTATATTATTTTTTCTTTGAAAAATTACGTGTAAAATATTCCCTATTATTATAAGGTTATTTATTCAAGTATAGTATTTTACATTTAATATATTGTCTCAAGATGTTGTGCTCATTTTATATCTATGAAAATCCAATGTCAATACTTGTAGCTCAAACTTTTATATTTTTTTGAATCCAATAAAACAATCCGTAGGCTAAAACCATGTGTTTCATGGCACGAGTGTGTTCAACACTTCCATTGTGATTTTCTTGCGATTAACTACTAACCTCTCAAATTACAAGTAAATCCTCTATATTAAATGTAACAAATTGACAATCCCTTTCCAAACTCATGTTAATTGCAAGAAAATATATTCATAACGTGTTGTTAAAGTACTTAGGAAATATGTATATACGTTTGTAATAATTGTATTCTCTAGTTTCATATTTTGTGTTATAATTGTTTTGTTTGACTACTTGAAAAATATTTGTTGTTAAATTCTGTCCAAAGATTTCCAAACGTATGTTTAAAATAAAGTGTATATGTATATACTTGTATTATTGTATGCACAATAAAATGGCGTTGTACTTAATTCTTTGATAAAAAATGCTACTACATTTCTATTTATATACAGTAAGTATAATTTAAAAAAAAAGTAATGATCATATCGTGATATAAAGAGCATAGCGCATCTTGTTTTCGACATAAATACTTTGCAACCAATTCTCTAAATAATACTACATACAACCCGCCACTCACCGCGCATCCAAAAAGTAAAAAATTGTACATGAATTTTTTTATGAAACACAATACAAGATCACCAAGGATTTAAACTGTGCCCAGTGCGCGTTTGTCACCAAACATAAATCCAGTTTTAAAGCACGTCTTGCCAATGATTTAAAATGTGATCGGTGTGATTTTGTCACCAACTACAAATCCAATTTTAAAACATATTTGTTAATAGGTATACAAGACCAGTAATAATTTCAAATGTCCCAGGAGACAATATTATAGGTAATAATATCTACGCCACACGCCAGTGAAATGCCTGGAATATGAATTCAGTTCGCATAGTCGGTATTCTACTGTCGGCTATCTCTCTCACATATTTTTGGAACAGATTTCGTGGATGTAAGCTATATCTATGGAATATACAGGTTATATAAAATTTCGTAATTAGTACAGAGATTTAGCTTAAAAAAACAAAATTTACACCCTCTCTAAATTTTCCTAAATATATAAAAAAATAACATATAATTGACGTTTTTGCTTTTTGAGTTTAACATCATTATTTGGGGAGAAACTTTAAACTAAAAAGAGGTTAATTGGGGAATTATTTCTGATCTTTTAGAGTAGGTATGGAATTGAGGTCATCTGAAAGAAAAAACATCCATGATTTCAAAAATGTATAACATGTTATAAAAAATCAAAAATAAGTTCAAAATTAAAAGAAAACATTTTGAGTGATATTTTACAAAAGTAATAACCATGAATTTCTTTAATAAAAAACTTGAATTTAACTTAGTTTTTAAATATCTCTCCAAATAACGATTTTAAAGCCAAAAATCGAAAACGTCATTTATGTTACTTTTCGCCATATTTAGGAAACTTTAGAGAGGGTGTAAATTTTGTTTCCTGATTTGCTTTAGGCATAACTCCAGGATCAATTCTATCCATTCAATGAATTAACCAACTCTCTTTCTATGCTAGTAAGCGAGATCTCTGTACTTAAGAATATTGTGTGCACCACGGCACGCAAGTTGCTTTCTAGGTTTCAGGTCATATCTTCCTTCGACTCGGAAGCCATCCACTTTCCCGCCTTGATACACAAAGTACTCTTCTTTAAAGCTGCCAATGGTAACGGGTAATTTTTTCACGCCTACGTCCCCAGATACGTTGAGCTTGTGAGTTCTTGGAATTATTCCTCGCTTTTAATGAAAAATAAAAAAAGGCACTAAAAAGCAAAATTGACTTTACTGTTACTTTGAGTTGTAAGAACATGCTCAAACATTCACAAAATGACAAAATAATATCCAAACCGTTCCTCAGATTAACGACAGCGTTCTCTGTCATCCTTTAGCGATTTATAAGTTGAAGTTAATTTGAGTTACGCCTTAAATATTAAACCTACGTTAAAAGCTTTAAAAGAAAGAACACGCAATTAATTATGGAAAACTAATATTTTGAAGTTAACACTTACCTTCGGTGAAGGCGTAGATAAAAGCATAAGGAGCACAATACAGCACACGACATTTGTATTCCGATAATTTCAGTTATTAAACTAAAGAAATTATTAGACAACAAAGAAACCTACGCTCACTAAAGCTAAACCGCATGTATGTACATCAGAAATGCACGCCAGTTGACGTTACATTTTCTTTACTCACATACAATGATTTGGTAATAGAACGACCCTTTTAATTATGCAACTTTGAATGCAGTTTATATTTTAAAATCAAACATATGGAGGAACCCCTCTTTTCATTTATAAGAAAAAAGCGTTATTTTTAATGTTTTAATTCAGTAAAGTCATATAATGTAATGACGCACAAAATCGTGCTAAAGCTTAATTTAAGTGCCCTGATCTACAAACATGCCCAGGAAAAGTAGGTATATCTACGAGAAATAATTAATATAAATGTCTTATATATAAAAACATCAAATATCGGAATTATTGAATGAATAAACGCGCGTGATATATCGTGCCCTTTTCAAAAGTAAGTATGAAATATGTCTAAATGTAAATGATTTCAGTTTTAACGAAGAAACAGCAAAGACTAGAACAGAAAATGAAGACGATATTTTGCGTGGTAATAATATTTTGTACAAACGCCAACGTAATTTCTTTAAAAAAGCACATATTAATACCAAATTTAAATTCCACCTCGTCTTTAACTGAAAAGTATGGTGGAAATTTGCCTCAAGCAATTTTAGATATAGTTTTAGGTTTTCCACTGAACGATCTCACTATTGCATTTGATAGCAACATGGGTAAGTTAGCAGAAGACGTGTTACGCATTCCACGCGGATTTGTTTTCAGAAACTTACATGCTGCACACAATTATTTTCACGTTGTATTCCAGAGATGTTTCTGTGACATTGTTTAATATCACAACAGTCGATTTACAAAACGCAGTTCGTTTTAAAGCTCAATTTTCAGTTAATCCTGCACGCTGTTTTAGTACTTCACCTATTTGTCTTCAATGTTCGAAAAATATCACGATGTTACCACCTTATTCTTATGCAGCACCAAGATGTCGGAACATGTTGTGCTAGAGGTACATAGGTAACGATATACTGAAAAGCAAACAAACGAAATGTTCGCAGGTGCAATACATGAACCTTATAAGGAGAAATTTTAAACTAATCTTCTATTGGCCTGAAAAACGAATCTATAGGTATTTTGTCAGAAGTATGAATGAATTTATGAAAATCATCGTTATTACAAATCCTAGACCGGGCACGTAAGCGTCATTACATTACAGAACTCTTACCAGGTAAACTTTGTAGATATAGACTATACTACAACCAAGCTTTGTCATACAAGAGACACCATCTTGAGATGGTAAACTGGTGGAATTCAGTTGATGGACTGTTTAGACGACCAACTTTACCTTCACCTGGAAGCATTTTCAACAATTTTAATGGCAAAGTTTTTAAAATTCCCGTCATTCACGTAGGAGTTATTACTATGTTGGAAATCACGTCTCATTTTGGTGTTTTAGAAACCACCATGGCACTTTGTGCGGTACGTTAACGATTGCATCGAAGTCCTAGGTGGTCGAGATGATAAGCTATTGACGCTTTTATCTCAGTCTCTCAATTTTAGGTAGGTGCTACCTGTCTGGCTAACAAATGATAATAATCCGCAGGTTTGAATACTTTGATCCCCCCGATCGCAATCAGGGGTCCTCTGTTTTGGAAAACGGTTCCTTTGAAGGGGTGTTGGGTTTGATCGGGAAAAGGGTTTGTGTCGACTTTCTGTAAGTACCGCACTCAGTTGTTTGCAATTCTAGAAAGCCGATTTCTTTATCGGGGACGTTACACTTACGCTGGAACGATTAAGCGTGGTCGAATTTTCCTTTCTCACACTAGCAGATAGTGTAGCATTCGTAACTCATGCGCCGAGTCGCTTAAATGAGGCTCTGGCTTTAGTAAGACCGTTTCACTGGCAGGTGAGGCTCCTACTTAAAGTACTTGAGGTGTCGTGGAAAGTGTTGTAGGTATGGCCTGCTGTTGTGGCAACTTTAATAATATCTGGTCCAATTTTATACGTCTTGATTGCATTGCCAAACAGATGGCAGCCACGTCGTCAGATACCTTCGCGCTGCAAACTCTTTTTTGAATGTTGTTGGTTTACAACCACACTGTTTTTTAAGCAAAGTAAACATATGTACTTACCATTGTAAAACTAACATCATTGAAATTACAGCCGGACGGGAGCCATCCTCGAGTAACAAATGCAGATTTTTTATCATCATCCTATCACTGTCAGCCACGTACATCATATCAGATATGTATTCAGCTAACCTAACCTCCTTGTTGGCAAAGCCCGGTCGTGGTAAGTGCAAATTGTGTTCACGAGAGGTTCATGATAAATCCACTTTGTAGAGAAATCGATCAATAACTTAATCGAACTCGAAGAGGCTATGATAAATCGCAAATTTAAGTTATACGTCGAAAGACTTAGCTCCAGTTACAGTCTTTTGGAGGTAATTCCACCACTAACTTTACATTGAAAACAATCTACCTTTATACTCGTAGAACGGAACTGGCATATATGGAAGACTATGGAATATGATGACACATAATCAGCATTTGCACGTAATAGATTCTGTAGAAGAGGGTGTTAAATTAGTCCGTCGCTCAATTGACATTGCAATTATTGCGGGTCGAGAAACACTATACTTTGACATACAAAGATTTGGTAACAAATCTCTCTTTTCCAGTTCAGCAGATGGCTTGTGTTGTTTTAGGTGCGAAGAATTTTCACTTAAGCGAGAAACTGAATACCGCCTACTCGGCCATTGCATTCCAAATTGGTTGCCCTTACATTGAAAATTTTAACAAAATGTAGGTAGGTGAACAGGAATTAAAAAAATGGTTTATTACCAATTTAAGATTGATGGCGATTTTCGAAGCCGGGATTTTAACAAAGATGACTGATAGCGAATACGAAAATTTGGGCAAACGCCAGAAAACCGAGATAAAAATTTCAGGTGTAGAGTCAGAAGCTCAAAAGCAACAAGAGAACGAAAACGATCTGCTTGACGAAAAAGACGAAGAGTTACAACCAATTAACATTAAAATGTTACAGGGTGCTTTTTATCTACTTTTTTTAGGTTGTGGTTTTTCAGGTAGCTAACCCAATGCAACTAAGATTTAAATTCGAAATTCTATTTCAGCGTGTGTATTAGGTTTGGAAATTTTGTTTGAAAGACAACAGTACAAAGTTCGGAGAGCGTTACGTGTAGGCCGAAAGAAGCACATCAGGTTTAAAAGGAGATGCCGGTATTATTGTCGAAAATTACGGAAATTGATCCGAGCATGGTTTCGTCAAATGCTTCACGATGCCTTTGTGGATACTTTAGAGTATACTGAGTAATTGTACACAAGATATCCAGACTTGAGTATGCTTGCAAATGTTATTTTCAAATTTATTTTTAATTGCTAGTACGCAAAAACGATTTGTAACCGTATAAAAACTAACAAAACAGTATTTATTTTATCCAAATAATTTACGGTCGAATAGGTTGGACAAGAAAATATCGTCTATGTAATTTGTATCTGGAGATTTTTTAACAATTTCCTTTTTAAAAATTAGAATCGAAGTTGGTGTAACAGCTACTGTCTTAAAATTGCCAATCAATTGACGCGTAACATACAGCGAAAATGCGACTCATCGGGGGTTGTAATCTTTTTAGGTTAACCAGGAAACTTTCTTTGCAGGGCGCAACTTTTAAAATAGCACCAAATTCAATGAATAAGAGAAGGAAAAGTATTTTCTCTGTCGTAAACCTTAAATTTAATAAGCTTAAAATTGTTCCTATACAAGGACGTTGCGTATATTACCTATTACCGCCGGAAATTATGCGCATATCTAAACGCGGAGAGACAATGATCCTTGTTCGAAATAAAAAAGAAACAACAAATACGCACTTACGAATTACGATAAAATGTTCCCCGTTCCTGGTTCCCGTCAAAATGGCTTAACTTTCTTAAACTGAACCTTAACTGATGGTCACTTTTGATTCAACTCGAACACTTTTTTAACTCCAACGATAAAAAGGAAACGAAACGAAACTTAGGACCTATCTGGTCGCCTTGAAAATCAAACCGCGAATCCTTTGGGAGCCGTACTGGACGATTTGAACCTCAGAACCCGAACGCCTTGAAGTTCTCGAAAAGTAATTCTCACGTAATTACTGAGTCACTTTTTTACGCTTAAAAAATTATGGAGTATTTTTAAAATGGTGGTACCTAATTATTTATTGGTTAGTGACTTCTTTTCAACCAATACTGAGCTAGTTCTAGGGTCTTTAATTATTTTAACACTTGCTGATTCCAAAATTTCTACGGTGAATTTACGTTATGCTGATCTAACCAATGTAATGTTAGATCTTCATTAAAACGGCCGTATTCGAAACCTTAAACCCGACTAAAAAGCGTCAGGAGTAATTAAAAGAACAGAAGTTCATTGATAATGAACGAGTGTAGATTATGCACATTATATTGACTCCAATCATCCAGAGATTTAGGAAATGTTAGTTGTGAGCAGGAAGCCTTTGTCTCGTAAACAATAAATTGTCACTTCATTGTAGGGAGGTACAGGTGTCTTTCGATCAATATTTGAACAGCGCCTTTGACATCAAAATCATCTATCACTGGTGAAGGGCGAAATCTTTCCTTTACTCTGTTTAAAGTTCCAAGGTGTAACGGATGGTCGCTTTAGAATTAAAAAAGTAATTTTTTTATATTTTGGTAAGCATTCAGCAAAATTTCCACATGCACTGCTTCATAGTGAGCTTGAACAAAGATGTGTCTGGCGTTAACGAGCCATATCAAGAAACGTATTACGGCAAGCGACTGCAGTTGCCACGATCTCTTTGGAAATAACGGTTTCGTTCCGTTTTGCGAAAAGGCGAGCATGGGGCATAAAATTGGATTTCCTATTCGTTTAAATGGAGTACGCGATTGTTTTGTTCAAAAGTAGAGAGAGAAAAATATATATCATACTTTTGATTTTTCCTAAAGGAATCGACCCATGAGAATTATCCAAGCAAAGAATTTGGATTATTTTATTTCACTGAGTGAGGTTTGCATTTAATTTTAGCAATACCGTTCCATTATTAGTATTATGGCTAAATTATTGCATCGTGCGGGTGGTATCCATGCATAATGCCAAAACTAAGGTAAACCAACCATTAAAATCACCCAAACTATCTAAATGAACGTGTTATTGCAATTTTTTTAATAAAAATTACAAATTTGAAATGTATCGCATTCATAATGGAAATATCAAAACGTAAGAGCTGTTGATATTATTCATAGATATACAGTGATATTTATTAAAAAACAGACATAGGGATGTATGCGTATTGCTTTTCCCTATGTCTACTTTGAAATGATAAAATCTCTTCTGAAGGGCGCCTAATTTCATGCAACCAAGGTAACTTCTTAAAACAAATAAAGATCTGACTGTCACTTTGGCTTTCGTTTTTTTTTATTTTCGTGTGCGATGTATTCAACTGAACAAAAAGTTGATTTTGTCAATAGTATAGTATAGTACCGGTAAGAGTTTAAGGAGCGTAAGAAGTTTATTTTCTGTGAAGCGAAAGCAACAATATTCAAATTAATTAATATAACAGCCAGATCTTTATTTGTTTTAAGAAGGTATTTTAGATGCATAAAATTAGGCGCCCTTCACCAGATATGTTGTCATTTAAAAGTAGACATCGAGAAAAATAATACACGCAATTCCTATGTCTACTTCTTAATAAATATCACTGTATGGTTAATGTATTGGTATTGTGAAGACACCATTGTATAACTGATATGTGTTGGTTTTCAACGTCTTCTGGTTTATGATATTAGTCTATTCAACAAAACCTTTCAGGCAAAGGGCATTGGGGAAAATTTTGTTATAAACATGTTCTCTTTCACGATAGCACGAAATTGTACAACAGGTTAAGAAAAACATGAAAGAAAAGTGTGAAACCGGGCAACGAATACAAACAGCATTAATTAATCAAATACTTGTTTTTCTTTCTTTCTTAGGAGACCGTTACTTTTTGTTAAAATCGAATAAAAAACTCTTCATTTGGTATCTCCCACGAAATTAGATAATTACTACCCTTGACTTAATTATGGGGTAAGTACTCGAACATTTTTATTTATTCATCCAAGAGATGTAACATCAAATCTATTTAATTATAGTCATTTTAACAGCAGCAGGTGAAAGAAGTGGTCGTTTGTTGTTTTCCAGAAATGGTATGTATCAATTTTAACACTTACTATCGGTACCTTTGGTCTTTGTTTGTAGTTTTTGTTCCAATTACGCTATTTTTCTTGCGAACTTGTTTCTATACCACTACCACATGGAAAGGCCAATAAAGTGTCCCTTTTAAGTGCTAACTAATCTCTTTGTTTCGTATCGGTGTCACGTACAAGTTTTAAAGTTTTCAATGGTACTTACATCATTCCCTGAACTTGGGGATGCATTTTTAAGATTCACTTGTTGTCTTCAGTTGTTTTATTCCCAAAGTGTGGGTTGTAACAATTACCTACAGATTGACCATCTTTCAAAAACACAAATAAACAGCTGAACAATAAAATACAAATAAGACCCTATTTATACTAATTACAACAGAAAGTGCAAGTTTCCGAACTGTGATTGGCCTAAAGGATCTCCTTCATCATTATTCATTAGGAAGCGTCTGTTTTTACAATTCTCTAAACTTTCATAACAATTTAATTGATATTTACTATTTACTTGCTTAACTAGGCAAATATCGTCAACTATATACCTATAACTATTTTCAAGTATATGTGAGGCAACGCTAGATTTATCCCACCCCCTATTTAGAAAACATTTGAGGTTTTACTATTTAATTTGACACTTAGTGTACTTAACTTCCAAGTTATATACGCTAACTTCATACTATATACAATGACACGGAAAGAAAATCAACCTGGCAACGTTTAAAAATGGCTAACGAAATGGGCAAGAAAATGGCTATTCCCTCCAAAATCTCGCTTAAATTTGAAATCGTAAAGTGACACGTGATCAAACTTCTAAAGAAAGCCCCCTTACGCTAGTTGCAAACAACGCTATGGTCTGAAGTACAGTAGGGAAGGAACGCAAAATCAAACACTGAAATCAAAACTCTGCTGAAATGACCAAAAGTTTGTATATTAAGAAGTGTACAGTTCGTAACAAATATAAAAATTCATTTATTTGTCACCCATTTTGTCGTGCAGTAGTCTTAGTTGCAATAAAAGTTTGACGAAATTCTAACTATGTAGAACTGTACTGCAATACCAATACCAATTCGTATACTGTCGTTATAATCTGTACAATAAGTTTAATTTGAAATTACAATCTCACTTTTTTAATTCCAAATAACCTAACTCCTCAAATTTGAATAATACAGATAAATACAGTTACACTCTAACCAATTTTTTATTCATTGTTAACACGACAAAATAGGTAACAAATAAACCATTTAATTCGGGTAAATTCGAAATTGAAATTGAGAAATCAAATTTAAATTCCTGAAAGAAAGAAACTAAAAATGACACCAAATTCAACAGGTTCTTCAACTTGGAAAATACATTAGAAATATACAAATTTAAAGATTGATCGAATCCTATAAGATCGATTAATTCAAATTTTAAAGTCAAATTTTATGCAAATTCGTATTTTTTCTAATAAATTTTTTAAATTGCATTCTTAAAACCCGTACTCTTCGGGTAATAGGTATTACTTAGAATATGATCTTTTCTTGGGTACTAACTACGGGCCTGATTTCGGTGTTTGTTGTCGCTAGTAAATCGAAATTTATTTAAAAAAAGATACGATACGATTTTGCATCGCAACTACGTTCGGTATTGTTTGTTTGGGAGAAATTTCGCAATAATATAATATAAGCACATCCACACAACATTTGATTTCAAAACGTCTCCATTGGAGACATTGGAAATGATATCCGTATAACTCCATATGTAAAACACAAATAACTCTTAATATTATTCAAGCGGATCACGTCACCTTTCCGGATAATAAGCGTCGTAACATGCTCGTAATACTATCAAAGGAGCTGTGCGAGAATTTTAAATTGGATTTAACAAAACAAATGAACTAAGTAAGTACCGTATCAACAGTATCCGCGACTTTTCCACCTACCGATCACGGTCGAGTACGGTACAATCGTCACTTGATGCGACACCGTTGTCTTTTCTGCTTGAACAAAACTCGTAACTCTATACCCATATACCTACGGAACCATAAACAATTCCAATGTTAAAACCGTGTTCTTTTACGAACTAAGCATCGAGAATAACCTTCTACATTTTGTTTTAGGCAGCCAAGACACTAAACTCGGATGCCTTCAAAACCCAGCAAGCCATGATGACAGCTACAGGAGCGTGGCCCGATCATAGCAGCATAACTTACAACATAAAAGCTTTATTCTTCCACGCATTCACGATCGGTTTGTTTGTCACAATGTCCATGCAAGTAATTTTTAACTTGAACGATTTTACTAACCTCTCAGAAATTCTTTATATCATGGTAACCGTAACAGGATACGTGGTTAAGCAATGTGCGCTTACTTATAAAAGAAACGTGTTTGTAAATTTAATCCAATTTCTCAAAGATCCCTTGTTTCTCTCTTATCCGGATGAACTAGATCACTATATGTTCGAGACAGTGAAGAAATCAACACTAATCGCAAACGTGTATCGGTTTTCCATTGCTTTTTGCATTGTGCTATTTACGGTCTATCCGATACTTGAAAACAAACCTCTACCCTTTCCATTCCCCTATGACTTGGGAAACTATAGGTACTTCATGTACGCTTTTCAAATAATAAGCGTTGGAGTCTGCGCGTGGAATAATTGCACCATTGACACACTAACAACAAGTTTAATGGGTATTGCCGCTGCTCAACTCGATATTTTATACGAAAAGCTTATTGTAATTCGCAAAGAATCACAAGAAAATGATGACGTACCGTATTGTGAAAAAAGTGAAGAAGATATACTGCTTAAGTTACGCCAATGTGTTGAACATCATAATGCAATAATACAGTTAGTGAACATTCAATAATGCTAATTCATGTGGATAAAGTCTATCTTCTTACAGCCTGGTTGAATCTATCGAAGATATTTTTACTGTGGGACTCTTGGCTCAATTTACATGCAGCATTATTGTTATCTGTAATACTGTATTTTACATTATTTTGGTAAGAAATCTTACTTCTAGTTTTGAGTTTATGCAAGTATCTTTGAAAACTACCTGTTTCGACCCCCGATTTACAAAGCCGGGTTAATAATCATTTGAAATATGAATCCAAGTCAATCTATTAAGTTTTTTTGTCTGGAACGAACGCTTATTGTCAGTGGATCAGATTGAGATAGCTAGAAAGCTTAAATGCCTTTCACTGGCCATAAAAAAGGGGAACTCAAAAACGAGCTCAATTTTTTATCTGGCTCTTTGTTTATTTTTAAAAAAATTACTCTTGTGCTGAACAAACAATTGAAATTATTAATTTATAAATTAATTAAATTTATAAATAATTATTAATTAGGATTCACCCTAGCTTTACAACAACCACATTTATCATTTTTTGATATAAAAAATATAGCCATTGTATGTTTTCAAAGTCCCGCATTGTATATTACAGTTTTGCCCCGAAAGGTAAAAACTATTATTTCAGGTCTTGGCCGCTATATGAGATTACCCTTCCAATTTGCCCTCTAACTGTCGCGAATTCCTACCCTACAGTACCATTCGGTTGTCTCCGCCCCTGATCACCATGCGCTCCGTGTTGGCGCGCGTCTGCCGTTCCTTCTCCCGGGGAAGTCGTCAAGAGCTTACGGGGATCAAACCTAGGCAAGATATGAAATAATCGTTTTTACCCTTCGGAGGAAAGTTGTTAATATTTCATGTCTGTGCCGTCGACTTGACCCCTACACGAGAAGTGTTTGGAATCTTACGACTCGGGGATGCGTACTTCGACACTTGTAAGAGGTAATAGCTTAAAGGGTAGTGAAACCCTTCTATTCTATTTATTTCATTTCCATAAGACTAATTGCTTTAAGGGCACATAACAAAACGGGCTCACCCTCAGAGGGGACTTCACAATAGTGATGTTTGAAAAAGTGTTCCTTTCCGCTCCAGTTCCCGTTGGCCAGGAACGGGTTCAAAGGAATGTCGCTGTCATAGCGTGAGGACGCTACCGCTGAACTTATGCTTTGCGGAGGGCTGCTACCAACACCGTCCGCCCTGCTATGACGGACCTCGGCGCAGCCTGCCGCCTTGTGGTGATGAATAGGTGGTTCAATTCTTTTGTGACTGCTCCCCTGGTGGTTGTCCCTTATAACATTTGGTTAAGCCAGTAAATTGGACATAAGGCTTGTTCTGAGCAATAAGAAGGTTTCCGATTGTCTATGCGAACCGTCGAAACTGGTTTCCGCAACAGCATTAAATCGTGAATCCTGTGTCCTGATACCAAGAGAGCTGCCAGTGCCGACCGGCGAGAAACTTGGAAAATGCTACTTACATCGCCAGCTCTCATCATCCAAGCAACCAATCTATCCACGTCCCACTCTGCGTATGCCCAAGAGACTCAGGATTTTGAAAATCCTGCATACGTTCTGAGCGCTCTCCAATAAGATTAATTGGTCTTGTTCCCAGTCTACTGTGCAACTGAGACCACCCCGTACCTTGCATGCCTTCACACGATGGTTTTGTCAGTTCCAGGTCTTGCAATTGATCACCTTCGCCCAGTTTCTTCCGCTCTGGTAATTCGATCGTGTCAACTTGTCGAAGTAGTATTCTATTCGTCTGCTCCGGGCTGCGGACATTTTGCCTCCGCCGCGTTGTTCCGAAGACAATTTGTGTCCTGGTTTGCCAGTATAAAGTCGTACTGGTAGGTATACAAGTACTCGCGTCCCGTGGGATAGTTTCACAAAAGCAAGCGGATCGCTTGATAGGCTAAAGGGCAGGTACGTCATCTGTAGCACTCTTACTCTTGTTCACTAACATAAAAACCGGTGGTGTTGTGGTGTTATGTGGATGTAGAGGTAAGCTTGTATCAGGATTTGCCTTCATGTCCCCTCCAGTACTTTCAAATCATTTATCAATCGAAACTTCTTCTGCTGCAGGTACATGTTCAAACCTTTTAGGTTGTAAATAGGCCTGATGCTTCTGTCTAACATTTTCGAGACAAATCTCCTGGCAGCGGTAGATTCTTTCAAAATTCCTTGATCGTCCATCTCACTCTCCATTTCCGACGTCGGGAGCCGGCTGGTTGTGATGGTCGACAACGGAACTAAGGGTGGTTTCATGACAAAAGGTATCGAATATCGATATCCCTTTACGATGTTTAGTATAGCTCTGGGGGCCCCGAAATTTTCCCATGTAAAGCCTTTTAGGCAATCCCCTCGGAAACACGGATAGTCATTGGTTCTTGACTTTTTCATTGGGGGCAGTCCTCCTTCCAGACCCCGCCCCTTTTCTCTCCCATGTTTTAGTTTAAGGGAGCCTTTTGCCGGTGACTTCCAAGTACTTCTAGCCGGCATCTAAAGGCCGAGTATGCGCTCAAAAGCTATTTATGAAGCTTCGACCTCAGCTCAGGAAATATTTTTCTGCTGTCCCTCAGAGTTGGACTGGGTCACTGGGTCAACTGGGTCCCCTGGGTCACTAAACTAATCTGAGTCACTGGGTCGCTGGGTCACGTCATACTCTTTTCAGTTAGACCCAGTGACCTAACTTGACGCAGTGACCCAGTTTGACCCAGCGACCCAATTTCACCCGGAGACCCAATTCGACCCAGTAACCTAGTTTGATCGAATAACGCAGTTAAGTCAGTGCCCTCGGTTCAAGTGTACAGATTATGAAATAAATGAAATGCTGGTTTGTTGAAAATAATACTCGATAGCTTGACAACTGCCGGTTCTGTGATGTTTGCTTTAATACTGCCGTAAAAAACTTTCCATGTCCCGAATTGTATTAGAATAATGTTATTTCTAAACAGTTCCCTCCTTCATTTCCTTGATTCAGGGCTTACCAGTTTGCTTACAGGTATTCATTCACATTTAATTTTTTTCTACTAGTTAGCTTGATTTTTTTAGGTATTAGTTCTCTTGAATGAAATTGGGCTACGTGCTTATTGGCGAATATTATTGAGGAAGTTTTTTTTTAAATTGAAAGTTACTTGAAATTGTTTTGGATGATACCTAACAATAATTTAATTACTGGGCCACCGGGTCAAGACGGGTCACTGAGTAAAGCTGGGTCAAGATGGGTCACTGGGTCAAGCTGGGTCACCGGGTCAAGCTGGGCTACAGGGTCAAACTGGGTCACCGGGTCACGCTGGGTCACCGGGTCAAGCTCGGTCACCGGGTCAAACTGGGTCAAGCTGGGTCACCGGGTCAAACTGGGCCACCGGGTCAACTGGGTCACCGGGTCAAGCTGGACCACCGGGTCAACTGGGTCACCGGGTCACTGGGTCAGTAAACTAACCGGGTCACTGGGTCACTCTATGCTTGACCCAGTCCAACTTTGCTGTCCCTGTTACCGCTTTAGCGACGGCGTCTCTTTGTAGGAGAAAGTCACGCAGGATCGATCCGAATTTCGTGTCCACCCAAATCATCTGATCTTGTAAAGGTCCAGGAGGACAAATTGCTGGTTTCTGAGTAACGCACAAAACACTGCCTGGAGCTTCGTCTGAACAACCCCATCTCTTATTTTTAAGGATGACGGCCGTCCCAGTCTTAAACATTGCCCTCCATGTTCGACAATGTGGGCTTTCGGAGCCACAATCAATGGTTTTTGCTCCTTCGTGTGGGACAAAGAACTTAACTATAGCTTGACTTGGTGGAACCCAAGAAACCTCCAACGCTCCTGTCTTCTGATACCCTGATCTAATCGGCAGATGTCAGAAGTCGCGACAGATGAATGGTAAATTGATTGCAAGGGTCATGTAGGGGCCAAGAGTACAGCACAGATATGAAATACTTAGTTTTCATGTTAACACATCTTCATATTGCAGATGTGGACAATAAATTCCCAATTTGTCATGTTATTAGATTACTTGATAATATTGATGCTGCAGCTATTTATGTATTGTTGGTATGGAAATGAAATAATCTTGAAGGTCAGTTTAATGGAATGCTCTATGCTATATATACATTTTGAAATGTTTTAAGAGCGTTAAAATAGGCGAAGCATGCTACAAATTCAATTGGTGTGACAGTGGAACTCCTGTAAGACAAACTCTATTCATAATAATGGAAAGATCCAAAAGACCCTTAACTATTACCACAGTTAAGCTTTCAACATTGTCTTTAAGTGCATATAAGTCCGTGAGTATGTGCGCAATTCTGTAGGAAAACTCACCTATTCTTTTGTAGATACTACAATGGTCCTACTCTTGTTTGGCCTTATTGCTGAAAATGGAGCAACAACGAAAGAATTGAACCGAATAAGCACTGTTGCACTGAACTTAGCCAATCTCCTTAGAGTACCTCACTTATAAGCCTGCTTTTGGAAAATTCGAACAGTACCTAACGAAAGATATCGACTTTCGCGAAGGGCGAATCAAACATTAAAGCACCACGATTATTGCATACCTTCCTCACTATGACGTATTATCTCCGCATCATTTCTTATTCAATCTATAACACATGCTCCAGTTAAGTATGGCACACTAATCTAGAATGTAAGCGTAAGTATGTTGTATTTGTAACAATCCAAAGATAATGTTGCATACTATATTAAAGAGTAAGGGTGATCTTTGCTATTATTTAACCAAGCGGTATGAAGGACCCGATAATCTGCAAATCAATGTGGTACATTATGCAAAGCAGTTGTTCAAGTATTCCTTTTATCATAATGTACTTGGATAAATACGTACAGTATAATCACTTCGTTTATGTTTTCGAGCAAGATAAGCCACGCGTCACGTTGGAATTAATATAGATCGTTTACGTAGGTCGCACTGACGCACCATTTGGGATTAAAAATGATGACCGCGTAATTTTTCTTTGAGTTTAAAAAATAAAAACATTTTCCACGGGGATAAGTCGGGATTATAACGGGAGGATTTATACATGTTCCGCTTTATAGCGAACAGGAACAAAATTACGTCAGGAAATAAAAACCATAACAGCGTGTGCCTTTTCAATAAAAGGTGTCTGTATTTTATCTTTCGAGATAAGCGAGGAGAGGAATCATGTGTGCGGAATTTTGCGAAGACAGAAGGGGTTAGCCTTTAAAAGAGTAATGACGTACTGCATGCGTGCGAAAAAGTTATTACACCCATATTGGCGAAAAATTTAGTGGATAAAATTCGAAAGCCCGCAGGTTCAATTTTACATTAAAAGTTGGAAGTTAGCTTAATTTGTAGCAAGGCCATTCTTTTACGAGTGATAAAAATTTATGCAACGGAACATTTTCGAATTGGAGACACGCGCTCTTCACGTAGAAACGGAATTGAAACTGCATTTTCAACAACTGCATTTTCAACAACTCGAAGAGATGGTCAATTGTAACCTGAAAGTCAGTTACTGAAAATTGTTTTTAATTTTTTGCATTGTATAAATTAGTTGGAGGTTATTTTTTAGGAATGTGCATATTTAATATTGTATTTTATTGATTAATAAGAATCAGATCCAAGCAAAGGATTTTGGTTATTTTTTTTCAGTGATTGGAATTTTATTTGCATTTAATTTCAGTATTAAGGTATTACAATTCCTGTGGTTGGATTGCAACTTTGTTTAGCATAGAGAGTGAGTTGTATATTTTGAACCGGAGAATGTACCAGTAATTTGTTAAGTGGTAAGCATAAAATCTGTAGATAAGAATCAAATGTATAAAGACACGTAATCACGCAATAGTTGTATTTTTTATATATTTCTGCTTATGAATCAAAGCAATATTTTGTATACAGGAACGTGTAAAGAAAAGTGGAACCCAATCGCTTTTTTGTTTATTAATATATTCTGTCAAGTAATATGCGTATTTATTAGAGTTCCATCGAACCAGAATATTAGACTTTCAATTTCATAATAGCAGTGGCGGCTCGTACATTAGAAATATGGGAGTTGCATGTTGCGATTGCACACATTAAAAAGTGCCAAGAGAAGTTTTTATTTAATTCATTAAACAATTATGAAATGAATTAAACATACAATAAGTAAGAATTCATTCTCACAATCAACACGAACAAATGCGATAGCACACCGACACCTTACACTCCACTGCGCGCTAAAATACTAACGATTTCAACTGAATTAGCGTGCTAACTAAACGAAAGTTTGCACTTGACTTGCAACCTGCTATGAGCTTATGCGGCATAACTGAAATCCGCGCTTAGATAGGCAACCCATCGTGCGCCTTCTTGTAATCAATTGGTGTGCATTCGAAATGCAACCGCAGAGCATCATCGGTGAGCCGCGATACTGACACGAGTCGCGTTGCGACGTGATATTGGTGAATGTAATCTACTGTTTCAATTTGACTGCCACTGCAATACAAAACGCTACTTCGCGTTTAATACAATTAAATTTAATGGATTTTTCTTTTGGGGTTGCGCAAACCTGCAAACCTAAGGAAGAGCCGCCACTGCATAATAGCGTAGATGAGAGGTCAAACTTCACAAGGTAAGGGGATATACAGTGTGTCCCAAATCGGGTGGGATTGCATGGGTAACTTTGTTATTGTTAAAGATAGAGAATTGGTTAAATGGGCAATGTTTTGCAGTTTTGGATGCTTATTTAAAATTTCCTTATGGAAATTCAAAATGTCGCATAGGTTAGACGTAATTTCAAAAAAACTAAAATTGGTCATTTCCTTGAATGTCTTATATCATCGAAAGTATAAGAGATATGAAAAAAAGTTTTATATAAAAGTGTCTGTCTTTGATATGCTTAATTTAGAATTGATGTCAAAAAAAAATTCAAGATGGCCACTTTTGAGGAACATTTACCAACTTCCTAAAGTTAAATGGGCGCCATATTGGATTTTTAGATTACTTGATAGATTTTTAAATTCTCTTTTCAACGAGCTATTATAACATAAGATTGAAAATAAGATATCAGTTATATTAACGGTTTTTGTATTTTAATCACGTAGTCTGTGACGAATAAAAAAAACAAAACAAAATCTGTTCGGGGCAACAAAACAATGTCTAACTGTCAAGATTATATTAGTCCTGCTTATGAAAAGATTAAAATGTTCATTTTTTTTACTATTCACCCTGATTTTGATTTAAAAAAGTGACGTAATGCATCCGCTACATCAAATATAATCTAGTAGATTTTTGACTTTTTATTTCTGTGCATAAGCACTAACCCGATTTACGTTTTCGGAAATCTACCACAACCTGAATGGGCTCGAGGTAGTACGAGCTTCATTATTTTGGTAAATTTCCATTCCACGAGAGGAGCATTGTACCAAGGGGTCCACAAAGTTCAACTGTATTACCCCGAAAGCGCGATCCTGTCTCCAATTTTCCAAGCATTTTAGTTAAGCTGAAAAATTAAGAATTGATACGTGATTACGAGAGAGAGTGTGTAATTTTTGTATGAACCAGATCAAAGATAATGTAAAGGAGTTTGGAAGTGGAACCGCTATAGTTTTTCAATATATTCAATCGATTCAATTTACGTGCATATTTATTCGAGTGCAATCAAGCCAGTATAGTCACGCATGTCACGATGTATAGAATTAGCTTAATAAACATTACAATTTAGAATCTCCTAAGCTTAAGATTTCTAATTCATTCCAAAATCTCACCCTGTTTTCATCTGGATTAACACCTACAGTTAAATTTTCTCCAATATCTAGATAATGAAGATTACATTTATCAATGGGTTTCCAATGGACGTCGATTAGCGATGTACATTCTGTTGGATTTGGATTTCCTGTTCTGGCAAAGTTTGTCCACAATTTAGTAAAGCGTTCGATACCGTTCATTTCAAGACTGTTAGGTAGAGGAGGAGGTATTCTTGAACGTTTAAATAAATAACCTAATTCATCTCCATGGCTAACACCTGTGGAATGGCATCGCGTTAGTATTTACCCAACTTTTCGTTAAGGGCTACCTGGTAATTTTATATTAATTGACCTCTTAAATAAGTTAATGCTGGTATCGATGGACATTCTATAAAAATATGTAGGGTTTGTTGAGGACTTCGCATGATATCTTAAGTTTTTTTGTATGGGCCATATGAACATATTGTCTGTTTTTAACTAAAAAAGGGGAATATAATTTCTGGTAGGTACGTAGGTACTCCAAACATTACCAAGTAATATTGACTTTTAATTTCGTCGGCCCATTCTTTGTTCCCTAAATAGAAAAATTTTATTTTCTCCGCCATACGTTTCGATAACGACGTGCCTTTAATAACATTTAGAGTTCTTGGTATTTCCATTTCGAAATCAGTTATTATATCAAGTCCTTTATTGGGAACGTTCGCGTTTCTGTTCATAAAGTGTATAAGTAAGCATTCTCTGGAGGTATACCCTATCATAAGGGATACATCATTATAGGTACCGGATCGTAATATAGTCAAAGGTTCTTCTAGTATAAATGAAGATTTAGATGTGTAACTTTCTACTACCGGCCCAAAGGGTCGTTGTGAGTATGCCGTGCAAATCTGCAAATAACATTCAAGAAAATAGCTTAACGCTGAAATTGTTCAATTATGATAACAGTCTTATACTTACATCTGGAATTTTGGATTGTAATTCCATTATTTCCTCAATCGGCATCTTCTGTAGAAGTTTAAGAAAAGTTTCCTCACTGGCCTTTATGTTAAAAGCGATTTCTAAATATTCCACAGATCTTTTTCCGTCTGACCAACTTCCAAGAGCGGTTCCACTTTGCATAATGGCTTTATGAAATAAGCCTGTGATATGATGGGTAGGTATGTACATTTGTATTACCAGTACTTATAAACAAGCTATACCTTTTGCGAGAGACGACAGTACTAAAAGATGTACGCTTATACCTCCGGAACTGTTTCCAAAAATTGTAACGTTATTGGGATCTCCACCGAAGCACCTAATGTTCTCTTGAATCCACCTTAATGCCATAACTTGGTCTTTGAAACCAGCATTTCCCGGTACGTCTAGTGCAGGATTGTCGAAATTGAGGAACCCTAAATTTAAACTGCAACGTTGTGCGACGATTAAAATTTCATTTACCTACCTAGTATTCCAAGTCTGTAATTTATAGTTACAAGTACAACATTTTCCTTTAGTAAATAGTCTGGTCCATACCAGTCGGAGTTTCCAGAACCCGATAAAAACCCACCACCGTGAATCCAACACATCACGGGAAGGAGACTATTACTCCGGTTTCCTAACTAAAGTTATAGTGTTCGGATGATATACAACAAAGACAAATAAACTATAGGTACATTTGGAGTGTAAACATTAACAAACAGGCAATCCTCTGATCCATCTACATTATC